AAAGTGTTGTGTCCCGTACATCAAGTGTTAGACGTCATTTTGACACCAACCACAAAAGTGTTGCCAGACTTGGAGAATCTGAAAGAAAAGAGTTTCTTAAGGAGACATTAAGGAAATATCACTCCCAGTATCGTAGTTTTTCCAACTATCTTTCTAAATCAAATCATCTGACAGTTGCAAGCTTTCAAATTTCACTGTGCATAGCAAAACATGGTAAGCCTCTTTCTGATGGGGATTTTATCAAAACGGCCGTGTTGGCTGGGAGTAGTTCCCTTTTTCATGATTTCCCAAACAAGGATAAAATTATGCAACGCATCTCTGAGATGCCAGATAGCAGAAATACTGTTAAAGATAGAGTCCTGCGCATGGGAAGCGATGTTAGTCAGCAGCTCTCCACTGATTTACAAAAGGTAGCCTGTTACTCCATGTGCTTGGATGAAAGCACAGATATAGATAATCATGCAAGGTTAGCAGTAATTTTGCGTTATGCTGTTGGTGATGTCATGAGAGAAGAGCTATTAAAACTGTTGTCCTTGCCTAGAAGAACACAAGGAATAGATATCCACAATGCTGTGATGGAGGCTTTTTTGGCACAAGAAATAAGACCAGAAAAGGTGGTATCCATTACTGGTGACGAAGCACCTTGCATGGTTGGGGCAACATCTGGTTTCATACAGTTCTTTGTTAAAGAAGCAAAACATCCACTCATACAGGTTCATTGTATTATACACCAGTAAGCTCTTTGTGCCAGGGACAGCAGCAAAAAATTAGAAGATATCCTCAAAGATGTCACTAAAATGGTGAATTACATCATGGCTCGTGCTCTTAATTTTCGACAGTTTCAAGCACTTCTTGATGAGGTACATGCACAGTATAACACTTTACTTATGAACAATAATGTCCGATGGCTGAGCAGAGGGGGAGTCCTGGAGAGATTTGTGGTTTGTTTGGATGAAATTAGGCTGTTTATGAATGAAAAGGGGCAAGAATATCCCCAGCTCACTGATACGGCCTGGCTTACCAACCTCGTGTTTTTTACAGATTTTACAGCACACTTCAATGTACTGAACAAAACACTGCAAGGTGTCGGGAAAATAGCAGAAAGGATGTTTTGTGATATCAGAACATTTGAGAGAAAGCTGCAGGTTTTTGAAGGAGACATTGAAAGTGGGCAGCTGAAATACTTTCCAAATCTAAAAATACATTTGGAAAATTCTACAATATTTATGGACAATCCTCCAAGCCATCAGGAAATCCACAAGGAACTTTCTAGCATTGTAGCAGCTGCTAAGGAGAATTTTAGTAACAGATTCTTGCAATTCCGGAAAATGGAGACAACCCTGTATTTTCTCACTTGTCCAGATAAAGCCATATATGAAGAGCTTGATATTTCCTGCTTACACTGGTTAGATTTAGAAAACCTGGAAATGGAGCTATTAGAATTTCAAAAAAGCTCTATCTGGAAAAATAAATTCTATGCCTTGCGTGCCACACTTGAGAAGATAGAATGTGAAGGGATGACAACGGACAGCACAGTTGGTAGTTCTGAAAATGAAATCCTTAAAGTGTGGAATTCTCTGCCGAATAATTGTAAGTCAATGAAAGCACTTGGGATTGTTCTTCTTTCGTTGTTTGGGTCGTCTTATGCTTGTGAGCAGCTGTTTTCAGCATTGAATGATATCAAATCTGATACCAGAAACAGACTAACAAATGAATTGAGTGCTGCATGTGTTGCTCTCAAATTAACAGAGTATGAGCCAAGATTTGACAAATGTGCAGCATGTATACAGCAGCAAAAATCACATTAATTGTGCAAAAGAATGCTAACTGCAAACTTTCACTAATGCAGTGTTTGTGTCCAAGACACTAATTTAGGAGTTGTTTAAAGTGTGTTAAGCAAGTTTAGTTTCCTTGTTTATCTTATTCATCCTCATTCAGGTTGACATTTACTGTAACTGTAGAAGCAGAGAAAAGACCCAGAGTAAGGCGTTCATCATACAATTTCAGTCTATGTAATCATATTACAAGTTGAGTATCCCCTTGTATGCATCTTTGGCACAGTTTACATGGAGTTTTCGTGCAGCTGGATGGACAGAAACCTGATGAAAAATGCATGTCCAATGACATACATAGAAAGCTGCACCAAAACTGGATGTAAGACAGATGTAATTCTGATGTAAACTGTGCCAAAGCAGCATGTAAGATGCATGCAAACTGCAGGTGGATAGGTGGGAATAGGTCCTTAACCCCTTAAGGACGGAGCCAAATGTACACGTTGTGAACAAAACAAAATGTAAACAAAACCTGGCATTTGCGCTACATGTCTGTCCAACCGTAATACACCTCTTTCATAGTAAATGCACCCACCCTTATTATATATCATTTTATTCAGGGGAAACAGGGCTTTCATTTAATATCAAATATTTAGCTATGAAACATAATTTAATATGAAAAAATGGGAGAAAATACGATTTTTTTTGATTTTTTTAGTTCTACATGACATTTTAACGGTCAGTGTCATAATACTGTTTGCTTTTACTGCAATAAAATACACATATTTGTATTCAGTAAAGTCTCACGTGTAAGACAGTACCCCCTATGTACAGGTTTTATGGCGTTTTAGGAAGTTACAGGGTCAAATATAGCACGTTACATTTGAAATTGAAATTCGCCAGATAGGTTACGTTGCCTTTGGGACTTTATAGTAGCCAGGAATGAAATTTACACCCATAATGGCATACCATTTGCAATAGTAGACAACCCAAGGTATTACAAATGGGGTATGTCCAGTCTTTTTTAGTAGCCATTTGGTCACAAACACTGGCCAAAGTTAGCGTTAGTATTTGTTTGTGTGTGAAAAATGCAAAAAGCGCCAATTTTGGCCAGTGTTTGTGACTAAGTGGCTACTAAAAAAGACTGGACATACCCTGTTTGCAATACCTTGGGTTGTCTACTATTGCAAATGGTATGCCATCATAGGGGTAATTTTCATTCTTGGGCTACCATAGGGTCTCAAAGGCAACGTAACCAATCTGGCGAATTTTAATGTGAAAAAATGAAACGCAAGCCTTATATTTGGCGCTGTAACTTTTGAAAACACCATAAAACCTGTACATGAGGGGTACTGTTGTACTCGGGAGACTTCGCTGAACACAAATATTTGTGTTTCAAAACAGTAAAAAGTATCACAGCAATAATATTGTCCGTGTAATGCTGTTTGTGCGTGAAAAATGCAAAAACGTCACTTTTACTGGCGATATCATCGTTGTAATACATTTTACTGTTTTGAAACACTAATATTTGTGTTCAGCGAAGTCTCCCGAGTAGAACAGTACCCCCCATATACAGGTTTTATGGTGTCTCGGAAAGTTATAGGGTTAAATATAGTGCTAGCAAATTAAATTCCCTTTACTTTCGGCATGGGTTGTCATGCAGGTCCTGCTAATTGTAATTAATTAAGATACCTGATTATGTAAAAATATTACATAAATATATATGTAGAATCAATATATGTATATATATACGTATGTGTATATATATGTATATATCTATATAATTTTTAAAAAATATTTTTATTTATATATAGGTATATATATAGTGATATATACGTATATATTTATGTGTATAAATATATATATTATTTCGTTCTATGTGTATTTTGATATATATATATATATATTAATTTTACAATACAGTTAGAACGAAATAACACACATCTATATATTTTTTAATTATTTATTTTTAATTATTTTTGTAATTTTATTTTTTAACGTATTTACATTTTAATTTTTTTTATAATATATATAAATATATATATAACAATAATTATATATATATTTAATCAGTATCAGTCTACGTGTAATTTGATATTAATATATATATATAATTATATATATATTAATAGTAAAATACACCTAGACGGTGTACATGTGTGTATGTATATGTGTATATATATACTTTGATCATATATATATAATATATATATATGATCTAAGTATATATAATTTTATTTTTTTACACTTTTAACTTATTTTACTTTTATTTTCAGCCAGCAGGGGGACCCCCTGTAATTACAGGCAGCCCCCCTGCTGGCAATACAGAAGCCAGCTATACCCGGCCATGTGATTGTGGGGTCCTCGCTAGGACCCCACTCTCACACGGCCGGGGGGCTTCCTGGAGGACGGTCGTGCCGCGGGGGGCTCCCTGGGAGTCCCCCCCACCGCGATCGCCGGCGTGGGACCGCCGGCGACCGGGTAAGTACAGAAAGACCGGAGGGCGTACTATTACGCCCGGCGGCGTTTAGAGCCGCCTATTAGAGGACGTAATAGTACGCCCTGCGGTCTTAAGGGGTTAATAAGGTAAAGCACCACCGAACACCAGTGTGTTTTAATTTACTAGAATTTATGTTTTTTCAATAAAAAAAACAGTTTGTATCATTGAACTCTCTGTTGTTATGTTCTTCTTTTAAAACAAAAGATGTTAATTAGTTCGGACAACTGTTAGAGTTGTTTTTTCTAAACTTAAACCTCAGTATTCAGGTTTAATTGCTGTGTTGGCATTTTGAGGAAAAAAAGTTGGCATGTATTGCAGTTTGGGCACTCGGGTTCAAAAAGGGTCGCCATCACTGCCCTATATGAAGGCTATGCTTTCACTGTTGATGTATACACCCCTAGACAACTGTAACTTATTTACACAATTTAACTATATGTTAAACCTTTAAACACTTATTAGTACTACATCTATGTGTTATACAGGGGGAGGAGGGGTGTGGTTTAGGAAATCTCACCCTGGCACTATTCATTATAGGGAACAAAGACCATTAGTTAAGATTTTGTAGTAAGATATTAATAAATTTTTGAAGAATTCTGATTTAGATGTTTTATGTTTTTTAACATTTTATATATAATTTTGGGTGTTAATCCAAGAGTATTTAATTATTTGGGATTATTAAAGTAATTAATTGGGAGTATCAAATCAAGGTTTAAGTTTAAGAACAGAGTTTTATCAGGAATTATCCCCATATGTATATGTTAAGATTATATATATAGACTTTGTCAGTTAATCACTTGCTCGAGAAACTGTTTTAGTACTCATCCTGTCCAATCAAGCATTTATATAGAGTGAGTGCTTCTCTCATCTGTACAAAGGCATTCCAAAGGGTGATTCAAAGCTGAGAGAAGTACATGATACACCAATCAAGGATTTAACTTTAGGCTCTAATTTGACTTTTAGCCTAGGTAATTGATAAATTGATAATATTAGATATATACTTTTAGGAATTGTTTATGTCGTACAATGGTATGTTATTCTATTAATGATATTTGCAAGCATATAGTTTAAGCTTATAAACTCTGCAATAAATTATTGTAATGGATTTTATATGTCTATATTTATATTTAATAAAATATCTAAAAGACAAAACTTTATTGCTTCCAATAATTCCTTATTTTCTATTGTATTCTCAATTATTTATATATTTTAAATAGAGGATCTTTTACTAACTGTATAAAATTATGGCTAAGATATCTATATGGTTAGCCATGCTAAATTCTATGCTTTAAGACGTTATAGTGGTAAATAGGGGAACCAGCTGCAGTTACAGCCTCGCTGAAAAGAGTTTCAGGCACTTGACGACCAGGTACCACTGCCCACATTCGGGAGACAAGATGGCCACCATTCTTTTGTCGACCATGTGCGTTCGGTTATACGAAATGGTGGTGGTAGTATTATGTGAATGTGATGCATACTTTTCAAGTTATGAATAATGTATTTCTCTGCTTGTGATAATTATAATACCCATTGTGTAAGGTAATTGTATCACAGGCAGAGGGGATGATTTTGTGTGGGAGTGTCTGAGTGTATTCTATGTGTTTATTGGTTGTGTTCCAAAACCAATGTGGGTGGTACTAATGTGTATATAAGAACAATAAACCCACAGCTCTGTCTGTTCACTGCTTGACCCTCAACACGGAGCTTTGTCTGGTTCTTGGGGGGGATTTATTGTATGCTGTTCCAGTTTGACTGCTAGGAGTGTAAACCTATTCGTATGTTTTTTCCTATTCGGCTGTTTACAGCATTCGTATGGTTTCCTGTTCGGTAGATTGGTGTTCTGCAGTAGCTGTGCCTGTGTCTCTGGAAGGGAAGATCTACTAAATGGCGGTTTAACCCTTTTATGCTGAGGGTGCCGTTACAGTTCCCTTGTGGTTTCGCACTTAAGTTGCTGGTGTAAACGTGCTAATGGGGTGCAAGGGGGGGTCCTCGTTTGGGACGAATGGATATCGTTCGTATGCAGTACTCCCCAACGGAAAAAGGGTAAAATAGATGAAATGAGGGGAAAAACATGAAATTAGTGGTA